CAGCAGGAAAACGGGTTGATGGTGGTACCTGTTGGATAGGAGGCTAGGTGGGCCTCAGCCATGCTGGAAATGGAAACTTACTCCTCTTACTTGGTATCAAACCATTATTTTTAATTTCATCGGCTGCTTGGTTGCCGACTTGGGTTTGTGACATCTGTAATTTTTGTCTCTTGATCATCATTAAAAGTAATGGTAGTATGTAGGAGATATTTGGCTATGGGTCTACATATTATACAAGTTACAGCCATTATAAAAAATATTTTTCATATTATTCATCCTTGAGTGCATTTTTAATAGAGACCATTTACATTTGGTGTCACTTTTTGCTTTGCTATGCTTGATAAAATATTTGAAACAGCATTTGCAGAATTTTTTAAACCTGATCTCATAAGAGCTGTGATTTTAATGTTGATGGAGATGGATAAAGTGTTAATCTAAAAATTAATTATGTATGTTATTATAATAGCTGTTAAACAGTGGTGCTTAACCTTTCAGTTTTGCAGAGCCAAAGTGGTGTGGGGCCGATCCAAAGGCTGGATTGGGCTTGTGTGGGCCTCCGCCTGGAACTGCATGCCTGGATGGGGCCCCACACCACCCCAGACCTGCAACAACTAGATTGCGTTTGGTGCTGCCAACATCCAGCCCTCTGGGCTTGGATTAGTCCCATGTCCTGGGTGGGGGCCTGCAGCACCCCAGCCCCACAGGATGAAAGAATTTGACAGCAGGAGAGCAGCAATTTAACTCTGCCACCACTCCCCTACTTCCAAATTTTTGGACCTGTAGGAAGCCCTGTGGGCCAGATGACATGGCTGTGAAGGCCAGATCTATCCCATGGGCCTGGGGTTGAGCATCCTTACCCTCTGATTTCCCCTGCTTTCTTAAAAAAAAATCCTACTTCGTATTGTCAGATTAGATGCTTGCAATTTATTAGGGATGGGTAATAGCCAGTGATTTTCTTAGCCAAGTGAAATTTTAAATGGAAGTAATAACAAAAACTAAAATGTTTAAAAAAAACCCAAAACAACCCCCCCTCCCCAAACAAGTAGGTGCGTGTGTGTTTATAACATTAGTGAGTATTCAGCTTTCTTAATTTACTACACAGTTGTACAGCAACAGAAAGTTTGTGTGTGGGTGTCACTAGCATGTGACACTGTTCCTAGTAGTGCCTGAAGGGCACCTGTCCTAGGAATTTACTAAATAGAGCATATAGCATTTTTGGTCAAGATAAAACAGTGTAGAACAATGAAAGTGGTAATAGAATTTTTAAAAGGAAAATTATGTTTGTGCAACTACTCTTGTTTTGTTGTAATGTCCTCAATTAAACTAACAGTAGTTTTTAGTTTTGCCATTATGCTGTGAATTGGTCCATAATTAAGTAAACTGGGTGGACTTTACAAATACCAACTTACAAAATAAGTCAGTTACTATGAGTAGAGATAGCAGAGCTCTCAACTAGCTTGCGAAAATTTCACTAGCTTGTGGAAATTGTTGGTGTACTTTATGTCTTAAGTAGACCAGGCTGGACGCAACTAAATATGTGGATTACTTTGGCCAGATGCTTATGCAACAGGAGCAGATGAAGTGTATTAGCAGCTTGAAGGTGGGAAAAGGCATTTTACCACTGCTGCTGCTGCATACATAGTAAGATCTAGTGATGAATTGAAAAGCCTTTGATGCCCTGTATGTGTACTTTGGATGAGTGAGAGGCCAGATGCCTTCAGTGGGGAAGGGTGGAGCAGTATTTTGATCAGTTCTTTAAAACATTTTCCTTTTTCTCCAGTTACCTTTGCTTAAACTAAGCTGACGTGACCAGTGTAAATTGTATCGTCCATGTGCTGATTTCATTGAACATTGTGATATTCCTTGTCATGGAATTGGCAGCATTTGTGGAAAAATAGCTACAATTGAGAGCTATTGACATGCTATTGGAAATGAAGCCAGTAGTGCACGGCCTCTTCAGCTTTTATCTCCGAGCTTTATAGGGGAAGAGGGAATAGAGTATGAATCCGTAAGGAGTTTATCAGCAGGTTTTTGACATGATCTCTTGGACTCCTGGAAGAGAAATATGTTTTCATCTGCCACCATGCAAGGTGGTTCCTAGTATCCAGTGTTTAAGTGATATAGAAATTTTGTTAGCTGGGTAATATGATAACTCGCATATGGCCTCCTGAGTAGATTAAAAAACATCTTTTAGTTCTTTGTTCTCCCTGGAAAAGAAGTCTTCTATTACTCTCTTCATTTTTTAGCTTAAGTGAAGAAAAGGGTTATGCTGCAGTGCTGAAGACTTGGTGATCAAACCCAGGTGACAAAACATGATGGGGGAGCGTAGAGTTGTACATTGTAGAATTGAATATAAAGTTGTTTTTATAGTGTGAAATAGCAAAAACTACAACTAGGAAATTGCATGTTATAGTTTGGAAAGTCAGTCATTCAGATTTGAAAATGCCATTCTTGAGTCTACCCTAAGTCTGCAAGAATTATACATGATCTTTTAAGTATGTTATCTCTGGGTATTTCCCTAGTACTTCTGTGTCTCAATGACTGGTGCATAGGGAATGATGTGTCCACGTTGCACAGTGGATGAAGCTGTTATCTACAGGGACCTTAGTGTCATTTGCTCTTAAAGCCTCTATACTACTTTATAGCTGAGGCAGGGAACTGCAGGCAGATGAATGCCACTCCAGAGAACTTAGCTTTGGACCCTCCTTTGGCCATGTGATGATTGGTGTCCCCCTTCAGTACTTGCCAGAAACGTTCCTCACTTTGGTTTGTCTAATCTGGGCCCCTCTTTTCCAGAGTAACAGAGCAATCACTACTACAGCTGAAATTAGCAGATTTTTAGGACTAATTCTACAGTACCCCAAGATAGGGGAACTTGGAAATTCGTGGTTTAACTTCCTGCATTTCCATTCTTTTTTGGTAGCAGTGGGATCAATCATATCTATCTCAGAGGAGCTGTGAGGATTTAAACCATGAATGCCTGTGTGGCACAGTTCATGATGGGACCAATAACAGAACCCCTAAGTTGATAACTACATATTTAGCGCGGTATTTGAAGGGAATTGTATTACAATGTGGAGGCATGCCTTGGTAAGACTGGAAGGGTTTCTTTCAGCATAAAAATGTGTTAATTGAATTATATTGGTGAAAGAAGGTACTTGATGACTGTTTTACTCTGAGCACCTGCGTCATTCATTGTGCAAGATGCAGTTTTAATTAAAGGGGAAAAAAACAAACAAACACGCTGAGATCCTAATTAGGGGTGCACCAATAAAGATTTTCTTGGCCGATACTAATGTCCATATCAGGCAATACCAATCCCATAGCTGCGGGGTTACTTGGGAAGGGCCCTAGGCGGGGTACGCACAGGCAGGTGGGGATGGCACAAGCGCCGCCTGGCTGGTCAGACGCAGGGGGATAGTACACTTATTCAAAAAGATTAAAACCCCTGCGATAGCTGATGGACAGGAATGCAGACCAACAGAGAGCAGTGTCCTGCCAGTAAGTCTGTGGGGGAGAAGGGCCATGTGCGGGGTGGGGAGAGATCGATGCCTGCACAGTGAGGAAGAGAGTGGGGCAGGAACAGGCGCTGCCCAGCCAGAGCGGTGAATTGTGACCCCACGGGCAGCTCTTCTGGGGAGCTTGGGGGATGGCGGGGTGGCTCCCTGCTGCTATGTGCACTCCTGAGGGAAGCATGAAGGGCTTGTGCTGTCCCTCCCCCCAGGATTTGTGAGCAGTGTGAGGTGGACCTGCTGGCTTGGAGCCAGGGGCTGGGCCAGGGTGGCACTTGGGGCAGGTGGTGGCACTGGGAGGGGTAGCTATGGAGTGGGCTACAGCCACGCCAAAATTCCCTGTAGCCTCCACTCCCAGCACCACTGCCGCCCACCCCAAGCAAAGCCTTGGCCCAGCCCTGCCAGTGCGAGCCTGCAGCGGAGTAGTCCATTTTCCATCCGTGGCCCATGCACAAACCCTGGGAACACATGCCCCCTCATGCCTCCCCCTGGGGTGTGCACAGCACTGGGGAGCTGCCCACAGCTCCACCCTGCTCCCTGCCCCATTCCCTTGCTCACCATGGGGGGACTCGATTTTGCGCCGCCTGCCCCACCTCCCCACGCGCCCCTTCTTCCCCACAGATTTACCGTCTGGACGCTGGTCTCCAAGCTGCCAGGCTGCATTCCTGGCCGCATGCACGCTGTGGCTGTGCACGCACACAGAATTTATCGGTGACGTTATCGGCTACAGTGGCCAAAAAAAGCCAGTCGCTGATGATGTAAATTTTCCTTTTATCGGTGCCAATCTGATATATGACTGATAGATCGGTGCCCTCTAATCCTAATTTAAATTACTATTATGCACATAAAGGGACACAATACTGGTAGTTGTCCCTAATTTTGTGTGTTTGACTCTGCAACATAAATTATGTCATCTTACTCGTATTTGAGCTAACATTTGAATATATGTTTTAGTTACTTTTTGCCATATAAAATAAAAGATTAAGACAGTAGCTTGAATCCAATCGCGGAGAAGTCTGGAATTCTGCCAAAGCACGCATTTAATTTATATCTGGATTGTAGTCCTGACTCTTTCACTGACGCTGTGTAACCTGTGGCAAGTTACCTAATCTTTATACTTTTTTTTCCCCTTGGGTCTGTCCGCCAAATGCAGATATCGTCCGATACAGGGCTGTCCAAACTGTGTGCCCCCAGCCCCACCTCACCCCACCACACAAGGAGCTTGCTTCCCCTATCTTGGCATGGGCAGCCCAGCTCCTCCCCGCACTGGCTGCGTGCACTGAACAGGCAGCATAGACCCCTCCCTGGCCCCCTTCCCGTTGGCCGGTCCTGGCCCCAGGAGCCAGGTAGGAAGCAGAAGCCAGAAGAGAGGGGAAGCCCAGAGCTCCAGGCTGCCGTAGGAGCAGTAGCAGTGGGAGGATTGATGGCTGGGCAGGAGCCTGTAGACTTGATGTGAACCCTTTGTGGGCTCCATGTGGCTAACAGACTGAATTTTGATGCTGAGTGTTTAGTCAGATGCTACTATTTCAGGCTATTAAAATAAGATACTTTCAACCTAACCTTTTTTAAACCGTAGAATGTCACTACTTTACTCTTATTTGCCATTCTGGTTTGTTTCTGAAGGATCCTGCAATACTCCTCTGAAGGAGTATCTAGATTTTTTTCTTGTATGTGAGGACTATATCAAACATTTTTATATTACAATGTTTTGTTCAGTACTTCATTTGTTTTTGAGATCTCTGAAGAGCCAGTATCTCTCAGTGTTTCCTCTACCTTGCAAATCCACTTCCCTCTCTATCTACTGTTAAACTCGCACTGATTATATTCAGGTATCTAATATTAAGTAATATTAACAAAAGCTGATCAATCAAGTCACAAAATATGCTGAAATACAGCAGTAGGCTTTCTCTTGTGGGCAGTTTTATGTCATAATTCTGCATTCCTTTTACTCTTATACTTCCTTCAGTGGATTAATGTTTGGGTAGGCTGATCTGCCAAAGATTAGGTATCTTTGCTTTCATCCTGTAAGGAAGCATTCTTCAGAGGCTCGCTAGTGTAAACGAGTCTGACAACACCAAATTGGGTAATGAACAATCAAATGTATAATAGGGATGTATCATTATTTGATTTGATGTAGTGATCAAATGCATAATAGTGAAAAGTTATTTCTTTATTCTGCAGGTCGGTGAGCTGGTGAAGGTCACAAAGATTAATGTGAGTGGTCAATGGGAAGGAGAGTGTAATGGTAAACGTGGTCACTTCCCATTCACACATGTCCGCCTGCTGGATCAACAGAATCCTGATGAGGACTTCAGCTGAGTGTGACTCAACAGTTTTGCTTCCAGATGGGAACAATCTCGCTTTGTTTCACTGCAGCTGCCATTTTAGACTGTGTACCTACGGATGTTCAAAGCAGGATTGCTTATATAAGCATTCAGATACCTGCAAATCCCTGGGACTGAACACCATCATTCCTTAATTAAAGGTCATGTTATTCGGGGTACGAAAGTAGATAACTTGTTTGTCAAGTGGCAGTACTACTATATGATTACAGGTTGTAATGCCTGCTTGTGTCCATACAGAGGGAAGACTGTACCTTGGCTCCAGCAACAAGTGGAGAAAGCAACAGCGCAGCTATGGGATAATAGCATTTGTAGCTTTTTCCAGTCTTGTTGCCTCTTTCACTGACAAAGCAAGTCAACCTTAAACAAACAAAAACAAACAACAAAGCAACCCATAGGTAGGAATTTCACGTTCAGTTTCTCCTGGAGCTTTTTCCACTTTCTCGTTCAAACATTTCTGCCCTAATAAGTTGGTATACTGTTTTGCACGGTGAATAACCGATGCACAGAGCAAATATATTTTTAAATGTAGAACACACATTGGGATAGCTTTGCTTTACAGTTAATTACTGTTTTAACGTTGAAGGACAGAGCGAGTCCACTTGCTGATCTTTTAAAAGAGTTTGAGGACACTAGAGATTTATTTCTTCAGTACTGTTGATGCTTCAGATTCTGCTAGTAGCTGATTTAACTTCAAATTAAGACATTAATGCAAGACAATATTTTTACCCACAACTATAAACTTAAGGAAGTATAGACCACATCAGTGCTGAGAAATGTGCATAGCACTTTAATATATAGCTTTAAGGCAGTATTTCATTCATTAAGTCTACTAACATTCAGCACTGATGTCAAAATGACATAACAAACTAGCCAGATGTAGTAGAGAATTAAATTATTTAGGGCAATTTCATATTTTTCCTATCCTTAATGAATCCTTGCACAGATCAGATTGCTATTACTTCTTCAACTGACAAACCAAGATTATTTTAAAAGCATTTTAGGGACACTTCTGGTTTTGGTTTTCATCTGTAAAGCCTTCAACAATAAATTTATAAGAAATTTTATTTTTAATAAAATAATGGAAGATGCTTAGTTGTGCTTTTGGTCTGATTCTAAAAATATGTAAGATGTTTCATAGTTCACAACAAAAATGAGTGCATTAAGTGTTTTATGTTGTGTATTATTTGGATTTTCTGCTTTTTCTACTAACCTATACCTGGTTTTCTTTAACACAAATTACAGTGGATACATTATTTTTTGGTTTGTTTTAAACTAAAACTAAACACTGAGATGATAACCCCTTGCATGCATCTTGGACTGATTTCTTTTGGAATACAGCGATTCAGTGACCAAAACAGCCAAAGGTGAAAAACAGGTTTGACTATATCGTGACCCTGTCCGACAGGGTATTTTCAGATTCTGTCAAAATAAACAAATGAATAGCAATAGAACATCTCTTAACCGTTAGTTGTAAATGTAGCAAGGGCTACTTCCCGCCACAGAGGCTGCTGCAGCAGGCCACAGGTAATGTTTTACCTGAGAACTATTAAACTGCTGGAACAGCCATGTCTTCTCCTTTTTCTATTTGTAATTAAACATTTGTTGACCTTTGCCCCAGCCCCGACTTAGAATCATAGACTCATAAGGCTGGAAGGGACTGCAAAGGATCATCTGAGAACTCAGGTCAGTATGTCTGCCCCATTTTCATTAAGGAAATGGGTGCAGAATAATACTGTAGAGCAAGTCTGATGCACACTAATGAATACTTTCCCCTCCCCATCCCCAGCTTTCTAAAACCTTGTGGAAAACTGACAACTAATTTGTCCTTGTGGCAGTGACTTAGAGATGATCATAATGAGATTACATTACTATTGAATCCCCAGTCCTCGATGGTGGGATTGCGTGTACTAGCACAGAAAGTGCTTCCAAAATGCTGAAAGATGTTTTAATAATGAGTTTAGTAAAATGTTAGTTTCTTTACAGCTGATTTGTATGATTATTTTTTTGGACCCTGCTACTTACTGGAACTGAACACTCAATGCCTGCAGCTCTAAACCCAGAGCTTCCTAATTGCCTTGTATGTGCATTTATTTTTCTTCAGGTATTAGAAAAGGATAATTAGGCAAAGGAGAGATGTGCTCAGTGTTCTCAGTAAGGCAGTACAATTTAGTCTATTTTAAATTGATTCTTTCTGCCACAGTACAGAACGCTAGCCCATACATTCTTGGCGCGCACACACGCAACCCCCCCCTCCCCCCACATATCTTCTGAAAGAAACGTTTTATTATGTCCTTTTTTAATCTAGAAGGAGAGATGGGAATTCTTATTACTAAGTGAATGGTCCTACTAAGGTTGTAGCTAGGCTCTTGTGAAGACTTTATAATCACAAATTCTTAAACACTGACATAGCAGAAAAAGTCTTAATTGCTGATGTTGCTGCAGACTTCTAAGTTTTTGTCCAGCATTTTTTCTTAGCCAGCTAGTACATTACTGCAAACATTCCGCTGTTTATTGAGTTTTCAGCTGGAATTTAGGTTTATTCCACAGATGGCAGACCTAAAGGATGTTTGCATTTGTACAAAATAGAGGTATCAACCTCTCGTCAGGTTCTCCAAGGACAGCTGAAATGGATTCCATAAATATATAAGTGAAATCCTCTTGTGGCCTTTGTCACTCCTATTCCACATGTCCCAGTCTCTGTGGGGGTGGGGGGAGCCTCTTTTTTTCCATCATCTCTGCTTGGCTGCAGTTGTAAGGGGGGGGGGGGGTGGGTGTGTGTGTCCATGCATAGGCAGGTGCTAAAACAAAGAACGTATTTCTAGAAATACAGCATGAAAGCAGAAGGTGCAACTACACTCTGTTCTCCTGGTGCATTTACACATTTTATCACACTAAATAAAATACAACTTGGCTGCTATGGTTTTATTTCAGTAATCCCCAACTTTTTAAAACTACTTTTTGAACTGGTAAAGGTCTCGTTAATCTGTTTGAGTTGTTTGTGTTAATGCAAATACTTCTAATCATGTTTGAGTAAAAACACTTCATTTTCTTAATGATTGCGGGGGGAGAGGTCAAGGAAACCAGTTTGAAGCAAAAATATATGAACATGTGCCATTGTATTATAACACTATCCACTTTCTTGACAGTAAAAATTCTTTTAATTTTTTTGTAGCATGTAATGTATATGTTCATAGTATGTGAAGTAAATAAAAAAAAATAGCCAAAAAATTGGCTCGGTGTCCTTGTAGAGCAAGTGTTTTCTGGAAGATTTCCATTTGTTTACTAATGATACTATAAAGACTACTTTGCAATGATAAAATATGATTGTCTGCAGTACTAGTTTTTGCACTGGCAAATTGCTCACCTATAAGAAGCTACTGAAAGCAACATTTGCATAAGAGGAAGCTTAACTGATGAGAAATAACATTTAGACTTTTGAAAACAAAGTGGTTTGTTTAAAACTAAACAAATCACTAACTCCTATCTGCTGAAAAATGCCAAAGCTTTTCTTTTGCGGAGCAAATAAAATCACACTTCATATTAGCTCATAATAGTTTCGTAAGTTTTGATGTCTTTTGCAGTCCTTTTAAGGTGTTAACAGAGTAATATTTGACCATGAGTATAGCTCACCATATTCATTCCTCTTAGGTTTTCATATTTATAGAACAGTTAAATGTATTTTTTTGGCAGTTTGAGGGGGGGGAGACCTGTCTGACTACTACTGTGCTGTATCTGGAGTTGCCTCGCTGTGTCTGGGCATCTTTGGCTATTGCAGTGCTCACAGGTTGGACATACCAGGATTATGGGATGAACGCTCCCACTGGATACCTTCGTTAGAACGTGCCAGCAAGGAAGCAAGCAGTAGTAGTCATGTTAAATTCATTTTTAGGTATCAGAAGTTGAAGTTCAGAAGATGGAGATCGTTTCTCAGCTAAATTGGGTTGAGTCTGTACACAGGCCAAAGTGCATTGGCACTCCCAGTGATGGGAGAGGTGGCGTGGGGGGTGTTTTTAAATGAAAGCTTAATGCGTATTATCATCCCTTGCCACAAGGCGCTGGTCTGGTACCAAGTGAGACTAGAACTGAGGGGGAAATTGCCCCGTGTTAGAGCTGTTTATTGCTGCGGCAATCCTGGTCGTGGCTGTGCTTGGCCCCGGGGCGGAGAGCCTGAGCTTACCGCTCTCCTCCCACAAGCGCGTAACAGAACGGCTCCGCCAGTGAGCGCGGGCTGGCCAGGGAGAGGGCCTGCGGCGCCCCCGACGGCTCCCGGCCGCCGCCGCCCCAAGCACCTGACGGTCCTCACGCGGGGCTTCCGCCACCAGCGCGGCTGCAAAGCCTCATCTCGGGGTGGGTTTCCGCGCTGGGGGGCCCCGAGTGTGATGAGCACTGGTTTGAAACGATGAGAGCAGGCTCCCGAGCGGGGAGACCCTGCTCCCCCGGGCCCTTCCCGGGGCGGGGAAGTCCCTCGCCAAAACGCCACGAGTAAAAGCATTTTTAATTAATAGAACATATCTATGTAAAAGCAAAAGGCCACTAACGAGCGAGGCCCGAGGCGGAGTGGCGCTCTCCGCAGCGCGGCAGGCATCCCCGGGCTGCGGGGACGTCGGGGCCGGCTGCGCTGCCACGTGCTCGTTCCTCGTGTCGGGGCCGCGGC